GTTAAAATATTATTTGTGTTAAATAAGAGGAATAATGTGTTCTTTTTGTTTTTGTTGATTATCACTACTTTTATAGGGTTCTGTATGTTGTTCTCATGATTAAATTCAGCAAAATAAACTAAATCAAAGGTAACAGATGTTTGTAAAACTTGGTTTATTTACAGAATAACTTTAACTGCTGGATGTTGGGCCCCTCAGCTGCTGACCTGCAGTAACTGTGGCTCCTGGGGTGATTTAACCAGTGCATCCATCCATTTTGGTGCCCTAGGCGAGTTGAAGCGCAACCCCACCGAACTATGTCCCACCCACTCCAATTTGAACCCCTAAAAACAAGTTTGACAGTGTAAGGTACTATGGTAAACTTAGATTTATTAGCTTTCCCAGAAAGCAAATAAATAACACACATGTTAACTTGTACAGATTGTCTGTAAGTTATAAGGATTTTAGGTCATTTTGCAGGGATACGGATGTACAGAGTAATCTGATGGATTTTTTTAAAAACCTCATTTTCAAATTTATCTAACATGTCAGAGCCTGTAGGATGATTTAAAAAACAATAAATAACATTAAACAGCCATCTTCCAACCTGTTCTGTTGGTAGAAATACGTTTTGAACTTTTTCCTCTCTCCTCTCCTCCTGCTTCACAGCGAGGCTGGRTTTAGTTGAATAGTCCTGGCGTAGAACCAGCACCTCATGGGTTAAACTAGTTAATTAAACATCCTGGTGAATCAGTTGTTGTTCTGTCCGGTTCATGTTTTTCTYTCAGTGCACAAAGACCCGTATGAGAACCTGTACTGTGTCATCTCTGGAGAGAAACACTTCCTCCTGCTGCCACCCACCGACAGACCCTTCATCCCCTACGGTAACCGCGGCAACCCGTCTGCACCACACTCTGTTGCCGCGGTGACCGCCTCTGTCAGTAACCGTGGTAACCGTCTCTGGCAGGTGTGTATAAGCCAGCTGTCTACCAGCAGCAGGAGGACGGGGGGTTCCAGGTCCTGGATCAGACTGACTCTCAGAAGGTGCGTTCAGGTGCAGCTCCGTTCATCTGAAACACCGGGCGCCACCTGACACCTTCACCCTCTGCTCCTCAGGTTCCTTGGATCCCTCTGGACCCCCTGGACCCAGACCTGGAGCGGTACCCTCAGTACCAGCAGGCTCAGCCACTGCGGTGCCGAGTGAAGGCTGGAGAGATGCTCTACCTGCCGTCTCTGTGGTTCCACCACGTCCAGCAGTCACACGGCTGCATCGCAGGTACCACGCCCTGCAGGTACCTGCAGGTACCACACCCTGCAGGTACCACACCCTGCAGGTACCACACCCTGCAGGTACCACACCCTGCAGGTACCACACCCTGCAGGTACCACATCCTGCAG